CATTTTCCCTCCCCTATTTCGGAATCCTACGTCAAGGTTATGGGGTCTTGCCGCCACTACATTATCTAACTCTTGCCCTAAATCTGACACTCCCAACCATCCATCTGATTCCTTCAAATATATGTGGGATTTCAGCTCCTGAGGTAAACTATCCTTTATCCTATCTGCCACTACCAATTCCTTCAATTGTTCTAATGTCGTGACCCCCCTCGACTCCATATAGATCTCTAAGGAGTCCTTAATTTTAACCCCGAATTGAGTATAAGACTCGTTAATCCTTCTGTAGCAGTTATCAAAATTGTTTTTATGCTGAAGGGGAGTTATTCTAAATTCTTTCAGTGTGATTTCTTTAATTTTTTCAAAACTTTCCAAATCCCCTTCCGCTAGATTTGCGCTCAGCCCCCTTACTTTGCCCGTTAAAGCTACCACCATTATTCTCCCTCTATATTCCTCGGGCACCTTATAGAAATTCAGCAAATACTCCACGTCTCTAAAGTAAAAGCCCCATTCCTCCGCCTTTGTCGGAGGTTCCCCTAAAGCCTTAGTCAAAGTGTTTAAGTGTCTATGAAAAGTGTTGTCTTGGTTTGTACTATTGTCCTTCTCCTGAAGATCATTCTCCTTATTTGCACCCCTCACCTCTAATTCTTTCATTCTTAACTCATGCTCCCGTTTCCGCTCCTCTCGTTCCCGTTCCTGTTTCCGTTCTCGCTCCTCTCGTTCCTGTTTCCATTCCCGCTCCTCTCGTTCCCGTTCCCGCTCCTCTCGTTCCCGTTCCTGTTTCCGTTCCCGCTCCTCTCGTTCCCGTTCCTGTTTCTGTTCCTCCTTCCGTTCCCGCTCCTCTTTAATCCCACTCAAAACCTCTTTAGTATATTGCTCGTTGTAATCTGAACTCCCGGTGATCAATGCTTTTAACTCAAAAATCTTGACGTTCTCGGAAACCGTTATCCCAAGCTCCTCAGCTAGGACTATCAAATCTTGCGTTTTAGCTTTTGCAAGAAAACTCATGCTGACAATATAAATTTAATTTCTTAAACACAAAAAAAATACTCCTATTTAAAAATAAACCTTACAAAAATAAAACTTAGCAACACCTTCCCCTATACTCATATACCGACCTTCTATTATGAAATTTACCACCTCATATGGAAACAAAACATGTTCAACAAAATTTGTATCATGCAATATTCAACACATGCAATATTCAAACATTACTTCACAATACACATAAATACAAGCTACTCTTTTCAACTTTCATTGCAAAATAATAAAATTTCGTACTCTATTGGTACATCTAATCTATACACCTTTACTTTCCCCAAAATTAAAACTCTTAAATTTCATAGATTCTACAGTCATAATAATTAACCATTTGATCATTTAAGCAAAAGCAAACACCTTCCTTGACCCTTTTTTTCCCGTCCAAAATTATTTTAACAGAATGCATTATAAATAATAATCACTACTAAATAATAATAAACCAAGAACCTTGTTTACTCAGCTCGCTATTGACATATAAAAACACAATCTTTAAATAATCCTACACTTTTTCACAAGCTATTGGATCAATACTCTTCTTCTTTCATATATACTCTTAGTAAAGCTATAAAAAAAAAATTACACTCTTAACAAACCAACACACTAAGTTACTTAGAAAGAAACATCAAATCATTACTTATTATACTTATCAATAATAATCATACTCATTAATCACACAAACAATACTATAGCTAACTGGTTCACTTTAAACCAAAACAAAGTAACTTATCCCTTTAACTAACTACCCTTTTTGTTAAACTTCTACCCAGAAATGTGAGCGTGTAATTTATCTTTTCATGCATGGGATAAAGCTTACCCCCCTTTATCTTTTCAATTGTCCTCTTTGGCAGATAGTCGATGTTGAAACCACGCTCTATTCTTTATGGTCACGGGGGGTAGCACTGGCTACCTATCGCCTCCGGCGATAATATAGTCCCTTTCCAGTACCGTCTCTTCAACTCCCGTCAATGTTGTCAGTCCGCAGTCACCCTTTCCTTCAGGCAGAGGCGTATCTATGGAAAGAAGCGCCAATGGCAAATCTCGCACTTTGGCAACATTCTGTACTGGGCATTTCTCATCGTGGGCATCGGCGATGATTCTTTTCACTCGCATGGCGGTCCTCCTTCCATCCTGGCGAGGATCCTGTCGCGCTGCGACAATTTGTGAGACATTTCTCTTTCGGTTCGTTTTAATGAAATCTTCAATAAGGATGACAAAGGATTATTTCAGGTATAAGCATTTATTTCGTCATCTCTGGATTAATTATGAGCAAAAAGTAAAATATGAGTATATACATAATCTACATGGCATTAAAGTCCGGAGCTCTCCTGTTCCCTTCCAGTTCCTCCTAAGAAATTCAGAGCTAAATATGTTCTAAAGTGTTAGAAAATACATTTTAAAGTAGAACTTTAAAAAGTAAAGTCATAAAACAAGAATAATTATGTAGGATACTTGACTACACAGCTATGATAAATTTTATTCAAGATAACCGATAAAGCAGTACACTGCGTTTATTAATTAATATTTTTTTTTATTCAAGATGCTAATAAATGCTGATATATGTTCTGAGAACAAAGATTGTCATAAAGATGAATGCTGCAGAACTGCAATTGAAATAAGGGAATTCCATACAATCAGGACTTGCAAGGAACTTGCAGCAGCAGGTAAACACGATTCTCTCTCAAATAGTTATTGCTCATACACGAAATTTTCAGAATCAGTTCTGGTGAAATGTGCATGCGTCTGTGAAAAAATATCAAACTTAAGTAAAGGAAAATTAAGGATTTTTCGAAAAATGAAAAATTATAAATGCTAACGTTGTGAAATATCATGTTAAATTTGACAGCAAAATAAAACAATCATCTATAATGGATCTTCAGGATCCTCTGTTATAGAAGTAGTAGATTACAAATTTTGATGTAAAAAAAGAATGTATATTAAAAAGAATGTGAAAAAAGAATGTATATTATTATTTAGATTCTTACCAGAAGATATAAAAAATTGTTTTTAAACAGTAGAGAGATATTGTGAATATATTTTAACATAATAACTTTATTTTGCAAAATTCAGAACACAAATTTAAAGTGAAATTTCAAAGTAATACTTTCTTGATATAAATAAATCACGATTATACTTTCATAACAATAATTCTATAGTAAAAATATTTATATTTTTTCGGCTCAGCCAAATTCATAACTGTCAGAAGTTAAAATAAATATTAAATTTATTCTAATAACAATATTTCAAAGCTGCAAGTATTAATGGACATTTCTGGACTAGAGAAAGGTTTCTTGCTTTAAAGAGATGATTTATGTCCATTGTAAATGTTGGCTTTGATTTTGTAACCGGAACTGAAATTATATTCCATTACGTTATTGTTTTTAACTTATGGATTTATGCAATTTTTTTTTCACTTACGTAAAGCTGATATTTAATTAAACGTATACATTAGTTTCTTCGATAACTGAGTTTCCTTTTCTCTATAAATACTTATTTTAGATGGTATTGTTTATTAATGAAACTCGGTTATCTTATATATATATCAAAACATGCCTTATACCCAACACTACCTGTGACCATGATACACTTACCAATATACCTAAGGAGCCACTCTGACAACTCCTATCACACTAGGTATAGGGTTTAATGCATACGTTTTTATCAGGAAAACACTAGAATGACTAAATAAGCACTTAAATTGGACAAAGTCATGAAAATAACAAATAATCAACATTTTTTCAGTTTCGGAAAAACAAGGCAAAAAAAACCGAGGGGGGCCTTTTTGTCTCTTACAGAAAACGAATTAGAAAAATGAGAAAAGGCACGTGCGTGTAAAGAGCTGCTGCTGACGCTGATCGAAATTTTTATTAAAGAAACTTTTTTTCCCCTCATTTTTTATTGGATGAAAAATATATGGATGAATAAAGACATTCAATTGGTGTTTTTTAAAGATAATTAAAGAATGTGACTGGATAGAAAATGATTTTCTTAAAATATTTCTGCACAATCGCTCCTTTTTTTGTAAAACAGTTCTTAATTATAGGTGACATTTGTACAACTGAACTCATAGCGGAACTTTACTCTACAAATAAATATTGTTCCTGCCGTGAGGGATTAAAATGTGAACCCTCTCCCTCTAACTCTTTCCTCGTAAGTACATAATTTCTATGTTTATATATATATATATATATAAATATATATCACAGCAGGAGCCATTGCAACAGCAGGAGATAAAGTTATACTAACATTTACTTGTAAATTATTTATATATACTATTTCATCAGTATTTTAGAGTGATACTGAACTCTCCTCCCTTTGCTTAATTATTCTCTGTTGCTATTAAGTTATAGATTTTGATTATTATTTAATAATAAATTGTAAAAAACAAACAAAAGCGTGCATGATATTATAAATTGATCGCTCCTTATTATGTATATTTTAATGCCAACGACATTTTTTTTCTATACTTATAACGCATTTTCGTATTCTTTTTTTTGTGGAAAAGCATTAAAAGTATATGTTTTCCTTATAAATTTGCATTTTAATCAAGATTTAAAAAAAAAGGTTAAGAAAAAAGGTATACAATTGGATTTTTAAATGTTTAATGTAAATACTAATTTACTGTACAAAATTAAAGAGAGCTTTTTTTTCGATCACTTCATGTTTTCAATCACGCGGCATCCTTAAAGAATAAAATTCTAAACATTTTATTAAATTAAAATTAATCAAATAATAAAAAGATTACCGTGGACTACATTAATTCAATTAAAATATCAAAAGGAAACAATAAAAAAAATTAATGCATCTAATGGTTAAGATTTGCGCGTCTCATTAGAATCTCTTGGTCGAGTGTTACCATTTTACCATGCATTGAAAAAACACGTGATGCCCGCTTTTATGCTCTAACATTAGAACTAATATTTCTTTGTGGTTAAAACTAAAGTTAATATTTTATAAGTATATAATTATACAATTTTGATTTACATCGTACGTTTCTTACAGGAGAGGAGAGGAATTTGCCGGCCATCAGAGGAAAAGTAATACCTGCCTCAGTGAATATAAAATAAGAGGCATAAAGCAAGCGTTTGTAATCACACAAAAATAATGGATTTTATAACATTTCATTGTAGAAGATTGTAACATCAAGCTGACAAGACGATTGGAATTGCTTGCCAAATTATCTACCAAAAAAAATATTTTTGATCAATTAATAAAGATGATTGATATTTGATAAGCTGATATCTGATAAGCTATTTGATATTTGATAAGCTGATATTTGATAAGCTTATTGATATTTGATTAGCTAAGTCCAATTTACCAATTTAATCTGACAAGAGGGACTCACATTTCCCCAAAACAAAGAAGACCATCTTAGTCACTACCCTTAGAAAAATTTGCTAGGTTCTCATGAAAATACCATAGAATATTCCTATGTGATATTGTCTATAGTAAAATTTTGCCATACCCGTATGGTAAATTTTTGCATGATAAAAGTGTATGGTATAATTTTACCTCTGATGAAACCACATTGATTTACGGTATTACGGTACCTTTAGTATTTTTTTACGTAGCAAATTTTGGCCGTAATATTATGATGTGCTATAGCTTTTGATTAAATGTTTTCATGGGCTACAGCAACATTTCTTCACAGCCGTATGCAGGTTTATCATTTAACTATATATAGGGAAAATTAGACATAGACAATTATAAACAGGAGTTTCCTTATAAATATCATAGAATATTCCTATAAGATATTGTCTATGGTAAAATGTTACCATTGGTAAAACCACATTAAGATATCATTTGGTATTTTTTTACGCAGCGAATTTTAGCCATAATATTTTGGTATGCTATAGCTTTTGAATAAATGTTTTCATTAACTATAGTAACATTTCTACACAGCCGTATGCAAGTTTATCATTTAACTAAACGCAGGGAAATTTAGACATAGACAATAATAAACAGGGGATATTGAATTACCGTGAGCTTCGAGGCCTTTAAGAAGAAAGATTGTGCTAGAAATATAATTATAATAAAAAAAAAATTGAAGAGAATGATTAAAATATAAATCATATGGGAATGAGAAAAGACGGTAATTAAGTAAGAAGAAATGAACCCTTACCAGACAATATCCAGATAATTTAAATCTTTACGAGAGACAATGAGGATAATATGAAAAAGACTGAAATTACTTAAAGCACATAAAAGTTATACATTAAGCCCCAGAATTACACTGGTTAATTTAATTTTAATTTCAGCAAGTCAATAAATTTAGTAACTGCATGACATGAATACCGTTTTTAAGTGAGCGAGAAATAGTAACGAAAAAAACGAAAGACAAGAGTTTAAAAGATGTAACCTCGTTTAAAGTTTTTGGTGCAAAAGCAATTTAATGTTTTTTTTGAGATTTTAAGTCAACAAAGTGTTTTCAACTATACTTTACAACTATACATTATTTATACCAATTAAAATGGTGTCAAAGAAAAAAATTCGCATGATGCAATCGAAATTTCTATCATAATTCTATATATTTTCATTTCTAACTGAAGTTTCTAACAAATGGTCAAAATTCAATCTATAGTTTAAAATTAAACACTATTTAGGGATTTTCTAAGATACTATGTTTATGAATTTAAAGAAAAGATAAATTAACACCAGAAATTGTAGTTCCTTTTAATAATATAATACTTAATTTCATTAACTTCTGCAAATTCGCTGTTTCCTTAAGCCCAGCTTCGAGGTTCTTCACCTAATCTACTAGAATTTTTATTCTAAAATTACAGTAAGATAACCGGCATACTGTACTTTCAATTAACCGTAAAGTTTAAGGTAAAGAACATTTTTTTCTTTTTACGGTTTCGAAACCTTTTTACAACTAGTGTGGTTAAAGAAAACATGAATAAAAGCAATACTGTTTTTAACCATTTACAACTAGCATAAGAAATACTGGTCTTTTTTGCAGTTAAGCAGCTTTACATGGCGCGTATAAGCAGACCATACCGCGGATTGGAAAATTTCTAGTGGTGTTAACGGAGCGTTCTCGACAATCGCCAAACAGCTGTGCGCTTATGTTTTTGTTTTGTTTTCAGTATCACGTATCTATCATTCGCAGA